AGCTCATGCATTTTCCCACGAGCAGGATATCCCCATCTTGCCAGAGTGGTGTGGTCGGTCCCATCTGGGCTGCTCAGTTCATGTTTGTAGTCGTTGTTCATTGTGCATGCGGTTCAAACGTCGGTGAGTGAACTCATGGCGACGTTCTACATTAACAAACATACCAGTCCATTGTTTAATCCCTCACGAGAACAGCGCCGTCGTGTACCTGAAGCGAGGGAGGCCGATAAATTGGTCCGCTCCGCTAAACTGACACGGCGAACAACACGTGCCTTGTTATCCCAGAGCGGCGCGTTTGGTTTGGTGCGCGCTGTTCAGTTCAGTGCTTAGGACAGGATTGAAACCGAGGTCATCGGTGCAGATTGTGTTGTTCGAGTCTGGCCGAGATCTTGTGTTTCTTCCATGGCCCGAGTCAGTTCGCATTTGGGTGCAGATTCTTTCGTTTTTGTCTGGTCCTAGATTTTCTTGTGTGCGTCAATCGCGCGAAGCCGTTCGCGTTGGGTCATCCTTGCTGCGAATCTGAAGCGAGGCAGGCTAACGTATTGGCCCCTTCGTTCAGCAGAGACGGCGAGCAAGACAGTCCCATCGTTTCCCAGAGTGGCGTCTGTGGTCCCGTGCACGCTGGTCCGTTTACCTGACGTTGTTCGAGTTTGAGATCGTGGTTATAGTTATGTGTGCATTCGTTTCGACCGTCTGTGCGTGATCTGCCGTGTACCTGAAGCGAGGAAGGCCGATGAATTGCCCTGGTCCGCTAAACTGACACGGCGAACAGCATTTGCCTGGCTATCCCAGAGTGGCGCGTTTGGTTTGGTGCGCGTCGTTCAGTTCAGTGCTCGGGACAGGTTGAAGCCGAGGCCTTTTTATTGCAGATTCTTTCGTCAGATTCTGGTGTGAGATCTGATGATGTGTGTTCGTCCATGGCACGGAGCAGATCGCGCTAGGTCAGCCTCGCGGGCGAACCAGCCGAAGCGAGTGAGGCTTACGTGTTTGCCCCTGCTGCTAAACACGCATCTCGATCCCTACCATTCCCAGGGTTGCGTGGTTGGTGTGCGCGCTGTTTCGTTTACGGGTCGGCTCCGTTTGATGCCGTGGTTATTTGTTCGTGCGTTTTTTTTTGTGAGGGGCAGGTTGGTACACGACGGCCGTGTTACTTGAAGCGATTGGGCTCGCTGCATTGGTCCGCTCGCTAGGCCGACGCGGTGTGCACGATATTCTTCAGAAGAGGAACATGTATCGCGAGCATGATCGTAGGTTGGGTGGGGGGAGATCGAAGTGGAATGGAGAGCCCCCCACCGGGTAATCGATGTCAGTTTCGGGTTCGTGCCGTGCGTATGGGCAAGGCGAAATTGCCTGGGCGGGCGAGAGGAATAATGCCGCTGTGGTCAGTGCGGGGCAAGACAATTGTCCTGCCCTCCCCCCTGGTGGGCGGGCGGTGGCTGAGGGTGTCCCGCCGTAGTGTCTCTTCGGTGTCCCGTCGCCGTCCCATCGCTGCCCCTTCGGTGTCCCGTCGGTGTCCCGCCGGTGTCCCGCCGGTGTCCCGCCAGTGTCCCGATTGGTGTCTCGTCGGTGTCCCAGTTGTACCCCGACTGGTGTCTTGATGGTGTTTCGGTGGTGTCTCGATGGTGTCCTGGTGATGTCCCGTTAGGTGCCCCGAGTGGTGTCCTGATAGTGTTTTGATGGTGTCCTGATGGAGTCCCGTCGTCATCATCACAACCACCGCTGTTGCCATCCTCAAACCTCCTTATCACCCGAATAGTGATCGTAGGTATGATAGCCGCTTCGCATAACTCTACCAGCCCATCCAGAAACAATGCCCAGACAAGGTGCCCTGATCAGGGATGTGGAGGAGCGTGCAGCAGAATGAATAACTGGGGGGACCGTCATACCCCAAGAGGGGGAGGATGGAGGAGGAATCGGAGGAGGAGGAGGGGTGGGGGGGGGGGTGGAGGGAAGAGGAAGAATAGGCGGATGAGGAAGAGGAGGAGGCGGAGGAGGGCGGTCAGAAAGGCCAGAGGCCTCTTGGATGCCTCTCGGAGTGTCTTCGGATGTCTTTTGGGAGATTATTGGAGTTTTCTTGGGGCGTCTTGGGGACCTCTTGGCGGTCTCGGGGGTCTCTTGGAGCGTCTTGGGTGCCTTGGGGAAGCCTCTTGTGTGCCTCTTGGTGGTCTCTAGGTAACCTCTTGGAGGATATTTGGGGCCTCCTGGGCGCCTCTTGAGGCCCTCTTGGGGCATCCTTGGGAGCCTTGGTTTGAAGGAGTTCGATGAAAGAAGGGGGGGAGTCCTCACTTAGGTCGCGCTCCAGGAGGCCAACACGGGCTCAGCGCCTGGGTAGAATCAATTGTTTTTCCTTCTGGCCGATGTCTTTTTGGACGCTCAAATGGGTAATGGGGTGCCCCGTCCAGGTGCACTGGAGAGGGTTAGGGGGAGGGGTCAAGCTACCCACCCGCCCGCAACCCTTCTAGTTCAATCCCACCCGCCCTCACATATTACCAGCCTGGAACATATCCCTATCCCTATGCTGGGCACCTCCTCATCACGATGCCAATCTTAGGGATTCCCTTATTTTTTGAGGGCGAATCCCTAAGATTGTCATCGCCTTTTGGCGTGTCAATCTTAGGGATAGGGATACGTTCGAGGCTGGTAAACATAAGGTACACCCGAGCCTGAGCATGTTCAGCGGTCGTCTTTGGATGGACAGCTACCGGGAACCAAAGCCGACCCCAGGGGCGCGATGCTTTGGCGAGGTGCGCCATGCGTGCCAGGGGCGCCACGCGCACCAGGCACCCCTGGGGCCCGAGCGTGCCAGGCACCCCTTGTGCGCCAGATGCGCTACATGCTTCGAGTGCGCCAAGTGTGCCACACACTCCAGCCGCGCCAGGTGCGCGACGTTCGGGGCACGTGCAGAGTGCGTCAGGTGCGCCTGCGCACGTGACAGCACACATCGGTAAACATGCCGGCACCCACCACCCTTGTCGAAAACCAATGCCCATCATTGTGTTTGGTGGGCCTGCGCGCAGCAGGCCACGCGCCACCACCCCCGCCGTCCTTGTCAAAAACCACTTGACCGTGATCGCGGGGTGGCCGCGCATGATCCAGACTCAGTTGCGAGGTGCATTTAGTATTGTTTGTTTGTCAGGAATGGTAGCCGCCTGCGCACAGCAGGGAAATGCTGACACTCCCGCCGCCCCTGTCAAAAATTATGCTAACGGAGTTCCCCACATAAAGATGTTACGGGGTTCCATTGCTTCTTGTCTGCGCTCTGGTGGGGCCTCCCTGGAGGGTGGGAGGGGCACGAAACCTGATGAATGATATGGTGTGCGAATACGCTGCCCGCTCAGGCGGGGCCTCCCTGGAGAGGTGGGAGGGGCACGAAACCTGATAAATAATATGGTGTACGGATACCCTGCCCGCTCTGGTGGGGCCTCCCTGGAGGGGTGGGAGGGGCACGACACCTGATAAACAACATGGTGTGCGAATACCCTGCCCGCTCTGGTGGGGTCTCCCTGGAGGGGCGGGAACGGCACGAAACCTAATAATAAAATATGGCGTGCGAATACCCTTCCCGCTCTGGCGGGGCCTCCCTGGAGTGGCGGGAGGGGCACGAAACCTGATAAATAATATGGTGTGCGAATGCCCTGCCCGCTCTGGTGGGGCCTCCCTGGAGGGGTGGGAGGGGCATGACACCTGATAAATCATATGGTGTGCGAATACCCTGCCCGCTCTGGCGGGCCTCCCTGGGATGTTGGGAGGGGCGCGAAACCTGATAAATAACATGGTGTGCGGATACCCTGCCCGCTCTGGTGGGGCCTCCCTGGAGGGGTGGAGGGGCACGAAACCAGATAAATAATATGGTGTGCGAATACCCTGCCCGCTCTGGTGGGGCCTCCCTGGAGGGGTGGGAGGGGCACGAAACCAGATAAATAACATGGTGTGCGAATACCCTGCTCGCTCAGGCGGGGCCTCCCTGGAGGGGTGGGAGGGGCACGAAACCTGATAAATAACATGGTGTGCGAATACCTTGCTTGCTCAGGCTGGGCCTCCCTGGAGGGGTGGGAGAGGCACGAAAACTTATAAATAACATGGTGTGCGAATACCCTGCTCGCTCAGGCGGGGCCTCCCTGGAGGGGTGGGATGGGCAGGATACCTGATAAATAACATGGTGTGCGAACACCCTGCCCGCTCTGGTGGGGCCTCCCTGGAGGGGTGGGAGGGGCACGAAACCTGATAAATAGCATGGTGTGCGAATACCCTGCTCGCTCAGGCGGGGCCTCCCTGGAGGGATGGGTGGGGCAGGAAACCTGATAAATATCATGGTGTGCGAATACCCTGCTCGCTCAGGCGGGGCCTCCCTGGAGGGGTGGGAGGGGCACGAAACCTGATAAATAACATGGTGTGCGAATACCCTGCTCGCTCAGGCGGGGCCTCCCTGGAGAGGTGGGAGGGGCACGAAACCTGATAAATAATATGGTGTGCGAATACCCTGCTCGCTCAGGCGGGGCCCCCTGGAGGGGTGGGAGGGGCACGAAACCTGATAAATAACATGGTGTGCGGATACCCTGCTCGCTCAGGCGGGGCCCCTCTGGAGGGGTGGGAGGGGCACGAAACCTGATAAATAACATGGTGTGCGAATACCCTGCCCGCTCAGGCGGGTCCTCCCTGGAGGGGTGGGAGGGGCACGAAACCTGATAAATAACATGGTGTGCGAATACCCTGCTCGCTCAGGCGGGGCCTCCCTGGAGGGGTGGGAGGGGCACGAAACCTGATAAATAACATGGTGTGAGGAAAGGCATGGTATGGTATGGGATGGTGGATGCATGGTATGGTATGGTAAGGTATGGTATGGAGTGGCATGGTATTGGTATGGTATGATACAGTATGGGATGGTGGAGGAAGCGGGAGGAGGAGGAGGAGGAGGAGGAGGAGGAGGAGGAGGAGGAGGAGAGGATGTTCTGGGAAAACAAGAACCCCACTCAGGATGTGGGGAACAGTACAAAGTGCTCGCGGGCCTCACCATCATGATTCAAGACTTTGCCCCAAAGTTCCGTAGCCATTTTGGCTCAAGGCCCTCGGTCGCGCACCCGCGGCACTTGGGCCGCCATGGCGCCGCGGCCGCCGCACGCCGCGCGCCTGAAGCGCTACGCGCTGGCGGCGGCCTCCCAGGGCCGGGCCGGCTGCGCGGTGCGCTTTCCGGGCGGCCACGCCTCGGCGACGGACTTGCCCCGGCCAGCCGGCGACGACGCCGCGCCCCAGCCGGTGGAGCTCCTGCTGGCGGCCCTGGTCGGCTGCAAGACGGCCACCGCCCACTTCGTGGCGCGGCACTCGTGGCCGCGGCCCTTCAACCGCATCGACGCCATCGAGTGGGCGGACGTCGCCGCACACCGGGACGAGGCCATCCCCGTCTCGCTGCCCATCTGCCCTGGCAGCGTCTTGCCAGGGAACCCGGGGCTCCTGGAGGTGCGAGGCGTCGCCTTCGTCCGCCCCCCGCGGGGCGCCCTCGACGCCGGGTCCATCGGCAACGAGGACGTGAGGCTCCTGGGTGAGGAAGTGGAGCGCCGCTGTCCGGTCGCGGCGATGGTGCGGCAGTCCGGCTGTCGACTCATCTTCGACTGGCGGCTGGTACGGGAATGACAGCTAGCGTTAGAAAAAAAAAGACTTTGCCCCAAAGTGTACTTTGTATTGTTTGTTGCCAGGGATGGGGGGGGGGGCGCATCGGGTTGGCCGCGCATGCTCCAAATGTGAAGGCAGAGTGCGTCTTGTGTGGTTTTTTGACAGGATGGTGCGGGGGGTGGCCCGCATGGGGTTGGCATGGTTCCGGGTTGCCCGCCGGCCGGATGGGGGAGGGGGTGTATACGAGTAGGGAACACTGATCGAGGCCCCCCCTTCGCCCGCAAGCCGTCTCGCTCATTCCCACCTGCCCTCCAAACATATAAGTAACACCCGAGGGAGCCTCAGCATATTGCTTAGGAGCGCCGCGCAGGCCGTGTGCGCCATGGGCTCCAGGTGCGCCAGGCACCCTGGAGGCCCAAGCGAGCCAGGCGCGCCAGGTGCGGCACGTGCTCCACGTTTAACCACTATGCCAGCACCCCCGTCGTCCCTGTCAAACGCCAATGCAAAGTGGTCGCGGGGCGCCCGTTCATGCTCCACGTGGAGGAAAGCTGCATGCTGCATTGTTTTGAACAGGGATGGTTGGCCTGCGCGCAGCGGACAATATAATGACAACCCCGCCGTCCATAATTCAAAATCCGTGCAAAGTGGTCGCGGGGCGCCCGCGCACGCTCCAGACGTAGAGGCATTATGTATGGTTCTTTGATCGGGATGGTTGGCTTGCGCGCAGCCAGCAATATGACGGTACTCCCGCCGTCCCTTCCAGAAACCCATGCGCAGTGGTCGTGGGGCGCCCGCGCATGCTCCAGACGTAGAGGCAAAGTGCATTCTGTATTGTTTGTTGACAGGGACGGTTGGCTTGCGCGCAGCGAGCAATATGACAGCACCCCCGCCGTCCCTTCCAAAAACCCATGCGAAGTGGTCGCGGGGCGCCCGCGCATGCTACAGGGTTGGAGGCACAATGCATTACGTCTTGTTGTTTGACAGAGATGGTGTGTGGGGGGTGCATGTCTCGATAGGCCCGCAGTCGGGTAAGGGGAGGGAGTGTACATTAATAACGAGCAGTGATCAAGACACCCTCCCCAACCGCAAGCCGTCTCGCTCACTCCCTCCCGCCCTCCCAACGCATAAGTAACACCAGGGCCGCAGCGTGCTCAGCAGTAGTCTCTGGATGGACAGCTACTGAGAATCAAAACAGACCCCATGCGCGCAAGGCTGGGGCGAGGTGCGCCAGGCGTGCCACGCGCGCCTCGCGCGCCAGGTGCGCCGGGGCACCCTTGTGGCATACGCGTGCCAGGCACGCCCGGTGCGCCAAGTGAACCACATAATCCACGTGCGCCAGGTGTACCGCAGGAACATATGGGGCATGCAAAGGCCGGGGTTGCATTCTTGTGCTCGCGATCTCTCCCCCCCTGCCCCTCCTCCTCCTCCTCCTCCTCCTCCTCCTCCTCCTCCTCCTCCTCCTCCTCCTGCTCCCGCGCTCCAGCCGCGCCAGGTGCGGCACGCTCGGGGGCACGCCGCAGAGTGTGCCAGGTGCGCCTGCGCACATGGCAATACACATCGGGGCACGGGCCTGCCCCCACCATCCTCGGCGAAAATTGGTGCGCAATCGCGGCGGGGTGGCCTCCTCCCCCTCCTCCTCCTCCTCCTCCTCCTCCTCCTCCTCCTCCTCCTCCTCCTCCTCCTCCTCCTCCTCCTCCTCCTCCTCCTCCTCCTCCTCCTCCTCCTCCTCCCCCCATCGGTGCGCAATCGCGGCGGGGTGGCCGTCATAGCGTCTGGTGGGCCTGCACGTGGCAGGCAGAACGCCAGCAAAACCCCGCCGTCCCAGTAAAAAACCAGAGCACAGTGATTCGAGGGCGGACAGAACCTCCAACAGTGACACGTCGATTAGTGAATTGTCCGTTTTCGGCTCTCGAGAGGGCGCCGCGGCCGTGATTTTCCAGGCTTGCGCCCGCCAGGTTTTGGCCTCAGATCGTTTTCACTAAACCACGTTTTACTAAAGGGAGGTCTGTCCATCCCCGAGTGATCACAGGGTGCCTGTGCATGATCCAGATCCTATCTGGACGACAGGGATGCTGGCCCTGCGCGCAGCAGGCAATATGCGGGCACCCCCGCCGTCCCTATCAAAAATTAAAACACCGCGCTCGCGGCCCCCCCGATCATGACCCAAGATTTTGGCCCACATTGGATTTTACAGTTTGACTTTTTTGACAGGGATAGTATTGGAGGGCCCTCATTGGACCTGGTTGGCTGCGGGTTGCCTGGGGGAGGGGATGTTTACTAATAGGGAACAGTGATCGAACTACCCCAAGCCGCAAGCCGTGTCGTTCACTCCCACCCGCCCTCCCAACACGTAGGCAGCATCCGTGGCTGGGCCCCCGATCCCACCGAGTTCATGAGTCTCGTCGGAATCACAACGCAGGCAACACCCCCGCCGTCCCTGTCGAGCGCCAATCCAAAGTGATCGCGGGACGCCCGCGCATGATCCAGATTTTGCCGCAAAGTGCATTTTGTATGGGCTTGTGTCAGGGATCGCGAGCCTGCACAGAGCAGTCAATATGAGGCCCCCCCCGCCGCGCCCTCTGTCAAAACCGAAGCAGAGTCATCGTGGGGCGCCCGCGCATGAACCAGACTTTGCCACATAGTCTATTTTGCATGGGCGGACACTTTGAGGGCACCGCCGCCGCCCCTGTCAAAAGCGCCAGCGCGCAGGGATCATGGGGCGCCCGCGCACGGCGCAGCTGCTGCCGCAGAGCGTATCTGTGACTACAGCGGAGGCCCATGCCAAGAAACACCCTGCTTACCTCCAGGGTGCCCTGGGTTTCTTGGTCTTTGATGGTTTTGCGATGGAGACCCGAGGAGGAGGAGGAGGAGGAGGAGGAGGAGGAGGAGGAGGAGGAGGAGGTGGAGGTGGAGGAGGGGGAGGAGGAGGAGGGGGATGGGGGAGGAGGAGGGGGAGGAGGAGGAGGAGGAGGAGGGAGGAGGAGGAGGAGGAGGAGATGGAGGAGGAGGAGGGGGAGGAGGAGGAGATGGAGGAGGAGGGGGGATGGAGAGCGCGACGCTGCCAACGCCAAAGATCCGTGGGCGCCCTTGGGTCTCAGGGTTGGGCTTCTTGTTGACGGCTTCTTGTGGTCGGGCCCCTGCCGTTTGCTCTGATATGGGATGGCAGGCCTGCACAGCGCGGGCAAGGCGAGGGCACCCCCGCCGCCCTGTCGAGCACCGCGTGCGCAGAATCCCGCACGGCGCGCCCGCGCCCGGCCTGGATAGCTGCCGCAGCGTGCGCTGAGCACCGCCTTTTTTGGCAGGGACGGCGGGGAGGGTGCCCGCACTGTCCCGGCTTTGTCGCCGGTCGGGTGGGGTGCACGGTTTCCCCCGGGGCCGTGGGCGACCCGAGGAGGAGGAGGAGGAGGTGGAGGAGGGGGAGGAGGAGGGGGATGGGGGAGGAGGAGGGGGAGGAGGAGGAGGAGGAGGAGGAGGAGGAGGAGGAGGAGGAGGAGAGGAGGAGGAGGAGGAGGAGATGGAGGAGGGGAGGGAGGGAGGAGGAGGGGGAGGAGGAGGAGGAGGAGGAGGAGGGAGGGGAGGAGGGAGGAGGAGGAGGAGGAGGAGGAGGAAGAGGAGGACGGGTCGCCTAAGCCCTTCGGAGAAACCCTCCAGGGTGGGGGAGGGGGTGCGTACCCTGGGTTTCTTCTAAGCGTGGGGGGGTATCGCCCCGACAGGGGGTCAACCTCGCCTCGTCGTCGCGCCGCGACGGGGGTCGGAGCGCCTTCGGCGCGCGGTGGCTGCCCACGACGGGGGTCGATGTGGGGCTGTCGGCGGGGGTTGACGCCCCCGCGACGCTTATTTGAACAGCTCGGAGTATCAACAAGGAGAGGTGGTGAGCCCTTCCCCGACGGGGAAGAGGGAATATGGAAAAGAGGAAACGCTCCTAGACCACTGCGCCTGGAGAGCTAGTGGGATTCCCATCATTCTTGGAATGGCGGAGTGGGTCCCGCGCGCGCCGTTCCGTGTACGTACCGGTTTGCCCAGCTTCGTCGACGAAATCCAAGCCTTGCCCTCGCCGACCAACGATTCTTGCGACGCGATGGGCGGCGGGGGTAGGCTTCGCAATTCGCCGCGCACGCGGCGAAACCCCAACCCCACCCGCGCCTCCCATCGATTGAGGGGAATCGATGGTCGGTGGGGGTGGGGTTCGGATGTCGCCGCCTGCCCTCGACCTGCACCTTCCGCACCTTCCGCGCGGAAGGTGCGGCCGCGATGCGCGAAAGGTGCAGGTCGAGGGCAGAGCTTGGCCCTGAGATCCGACGTTGCCAAAAATGGCAACATCACAAAACATTACGACTGGAGTCCTGGATCCCATCTGTCTGCGTCACTTTTCGAGCCGCATCGATCCGTGGGCGAAAACGTCGGTGGCAAGAAGTGGCAGCGCCAGGATCTCAGGGGGGGCCACAGCTGCGCTGCGAGGGCGCGCCCAGGCCCGGCTCGAGCCGCGGCCCAGGCCGCCCCCTCCCCAGACCCCCGACGTCGATCGTGTTTTCTTCACGACTTCGACCCCCTGAGGTTTGAACCCCTTCCCCAGCACAGGTGTTTCATCCCGAGTCGTTTTTCGACGGTCCCGAGGCCCTCCTCCTCCTCCTCCTCCTTCTCCTCCTCCCCCTTTCCCTCCTCCTCCTCCTCCTCCTCCTCCTCCTCCTCCTCCTCCTCCTTCGCCTCCCCCTCCTCCTCCTCCCCCCCCCTCCTCCCCCCTCCTCCTCATCCCCCCTCCTCCCCCTCCTCCTCGTCGTCGTCCTCCTCCTCCCCTCCTCTTCCTCCTCTCCTCCTCCTCCTCCTCCTCGTTGTCCTCCTCCTCCTCCTCCTCCTCCTCCTCCTCCTCCTCCTCCTCCTCCTCCTCCTCCTCGAGCCTCCTCCCCCCGCAGGCCGAACATCTAGCAGAAAGCCTCCCGCCGCGACGTCTCCGCAGCGCCGGGCGGGGGTCTGGGCCCCAGGCGCCGCGGGAGGCGCGGAGGAGCCCCGCGGCCAGCGGTCGCGCCCGCGCGCGCCTCTCGCAGGGCGCGCCCC